CCCTTATGATGTTAAGAACAGAAGGTGATGTCTACCCTATATGTATATTTACCTTTAGTCCAACAACGGTTGCATGCCACTGCCACCGTTGCATTTTCCTGTACCCCTGAAGTCATTATGGCGCATGCTAGCCACCCACACAGATATTCGAATTATGTGAACCTGCCTTTTTTGACGTCCCGGCCGTAGAGTGCGGGCCGGTCTAATTCAGGCCAAGGCTGGAGCCGGCACCGTTGATACTGACAGTCGCAAATGTTCGGCGGCCATGGGGACTGTGACATGACAGGTAGGAGTCAGTCTACCTCCTCGAATGCGAAGTATAAGAAGCAAATACAAGATTACGAACATGTTGGATCTGTTCAAGTTATCGTCTGACCCAGACTTTGCAGGCTCCTGAAGTCATATACTCGTAGGTGAGAACATGCAGTGTTTTGTAGGCCAGGACGTATGGACTGAATCAAAAAGCAGCAAGAAAAGACTTTGATAGATAATGCACCAGGAACATACAATTCCTTGGAACGCCCTCGCCTCCAATTTCAAATTCAGCCGCGAAAACCCACATTATACACCCCGTCGCACTGGGCTCTTCCCACGCAACCTCTCCACCCAGGCCCAAACGCTCAATCACTTCGTGCGCATTCTGCATAAGACCATCACCGCCTTTTCCGAGACCGAGCGCGCGAAATATGGCGCCTCCTTTGATGCCCCAACCTCGGGTAACCTGTTTTCGGATGAGCTACGTGATCGCTACCCAGAATACCTGAACGAGAAGAATCAGCGCATCGAGAACTGGATTGAGCGCGCCGAATTCTACTACAATCCTCCCAATCTCGGGTACACGACTAGCCAAGCAGATCTCGCAGAGGTGGTGAAGATTCTCATCGCCGAGAACCAGTTGGAGACGCTCCTGATGCTCGCGCACCACCCACAGATCCCGCTAGGCACGCTGCGGCATCTAAGTTGGGGTCACCACTTTGGCTTCTCGCGCGTCATGGAGTCTGCGCTGCAGGCGTACGTTCTGCTTAACCTCTTTGCTGCGGCGGGCTTGCTGGAGAGGGGCGAATACCTGGAGACCTGGGAGTACAAGCTCATGGTGAGGACGTCTACGCAGAGTATGGACTATCCCGCGCAGCAGCTGCCACACCGCGAGTACCTTGAGGCGCTGCCGAAGGACATCGCGTCGACAATGCCAGAGGTGCATCGTGATTTTGCCCCTCTGCAGGAATACTTGAAGACGATCTTCTGCCTGCTATATCGCTATGATGTGGTTGTGAGGGAATGTGGACTGGGTCCGCAGTGGGAGGGCGAGATTGTGGGGCTGTTTGAGTATGAGATCGGGACGGGGGTGCGGATGGAGGCACGCACGATCGAGGGGCAATACATCAAGCGGTTTGTTTGAGTCCAGCCTAACATACGATAAACTAGGAAAACCTGTCCCCTGACCTAAATCAAAAGAGATTTCCCAAGGATACGATGCAAAGGATGTCGAATTGGTTATGTGACCTTCTATTATTCATGGTGCAAACGAATGTAATCGACGTGGTAAAAGAAGCAATCCTCCAACATGCAACATGGTTTGCTTGGATAACTTGGATAAAGTCCTGACGTGGAAACTTGACTTGTAAAACAAGGTCATAGCCCTAATCTCGAGTTGACCAGGAGCCTCCGAAGGATGATATTCTGTCCGATTCGCAACCACAGTCAAAGAGGATGGTTTCAAATCGCACCGTCAGGACTTAAAGGAGGAGGCCTATTCTGTTCGCGGTAGACAGAACAGCGCGGCGCGATTACGGTGGTATTTCAAATACCAATTAACATACAAGCCAGTCCCATCCGTTTCAGAACATAATCATACAGATCCCAGTCACTTGTTCACTCCTTCTTCCCCGCCTTACTTCCTGTGCCCCACACGACCTCCTCCACGGCCTTCTTCTTACCCTGCCACGCGAGCACAAGCCCCTTCTCCCAGGTGCGCAGCGGGCTGAACATGCCCACACGCTTCTGGTAGGCCCTGTACTCCTCTGGGTACTTGCCCAGGCTGATAGACTCCGTGAATATGGTGGATGAAAAGAAAAGGGCGGAGAGTGAGAGGGCAGGAATGAGATTGGCGAGTGGCGCGAGAAGGCGTTCGAGGATAGGGATGAGGACGTAAGGGTTCTGGCGAATGACAGTGATGGAGGGAATGAGGTGGAAGGGGGACGAGGTGAAGGAGAGGTGTGGGGGTGCAGGCGCAAGCAGAGGGAAAAAGGTGATTATCCACTGATGAAGGAGGCCACAAGTTAGTTTTGCTTCAGGTATATAATTCAGAAGAAAGGAACTCACCCAGAACGACTGCTCGCAGAGGAAATTAGGATGGCGAGAGTACGCCCAGAGTCCTCGGGTAATGAACCCCCTTTTAGCGTCCTCCGGGGTGAAGTTCAGGCGTGCACCAGGCCATTGCTGCTTCTTGTCGTAAGGCTCGACGCCATTGTCCCCTTTCTCAGACGCTAGATAGGCATGCTTATAGGAGTGGTAGGCCCATTGTTGGTTGTCCGAGGTAAATTCAAACGCAAGGTCTACGAGCGCGAGTGCCGCGAGGAGAAGATCGGAAAGGGCGAGAGAGTCATGTGGTTGCAGCGTCGATGCGATTTTGGTGGGGATGCCAAGGAGGAGCAGAAGGACGTTCTGGGTGGCAGCGATGAATGTGAGATTGGTGAGCTGGAAAAGCCATGCAGGAAGCTTGGCTCGGAGAACCGCCCAGCGGTAGTCTTCATCTTGACTAAGTTTGGATTAGCCGCGTCACAGATCTCGTACAGCAACTATACATACAGTTTAAAGAGACCTCGGCGATACGTATTGTACGACAGACTGCGAAAGAAGCAAAGCGATGAGTAAGACGAATACAGGCGGAGAGGTGTGTAAGACGCACCGACACATCCATATGAAGACTATTCCGAACATCAAGACCGCCCTGGGGCTAAAGTCTTTGGCTACTGCCCACCCAAGGTCCTTCGGAGTATACGGACATAGCGGAAACAAAGGCTCCTGCGGCCAAAGAGGCATGAGTGCGTAGTACGCGGTATATATGGTTGGCAGGAAGGTCCATAGTCGATCGACCTGGGAAACGTTGGCGGTGAGGAGAGATAAAATCCATGTTACGGCCGTTGTAGCAATACAGAACTGAGCGGGCCACTGGTACGCTGGGGGGACAGATGCGATTAATGCGTCCATGGTGGAGCGGTTCCAGTTGGTGACCAACTTTTATACAGACAACAGGTAGCCTCGATGACAGCCTCGATCGTGCGACGTCGTCGTCGTCTGGCCCGAGATCGCCACGCACATGTGACTAATCTACGCGCGTTGCGACCTCCGTATAATTGCAAGCCGCACATCGTCATCGTTCATCAACATCGCACCGAGTATTTAAGTTTCAACTGGTCCGTCTCAGAATGCGCACGCCATCGGGCGATCCAGCCACATATCTCGATCCAGTCCCGTCTTCCCAAACCGTATAAATAGGGCCCGAAAACACCCTTTGAAAGTAGCTACTTTTCCCCCCGATAATTCTCTCTTCATCGCATACTGCGCTCTGTAACTCTTCAATACTGGTCTCTGGCCCCTTCTCCCGTTCGCTTCTCCTTAACGGAAACACGACTACAAACAGGCTCTATCGGATTGATCATAGAGTAAGCATGTATATGTACGGCGGCCACAGAAATCTTACCCCTGACCGACTCCCGAGACGCTATGATGGGAATAACGTTCATTGGTAAATACTGAATATTTTCAGCTTTGGTTCAGTCCTTTTACTAGTATCCCATCTCACCATGTCATACAGAATTCCCTGCGCTCGTTGCCTCGCCAAGAATGGTCGGTGCTATGAGGAATCGTAGGTACGTCGTCTACTTATGCATAAGGCGCCAAGCCTTTGAACCCGAGCACGTTAGGATCGGGTATCTTTTGCAGTAAAAGTGACTACAAGTGACGCTCAGCAATTTCTTCATTGACGTTGCGTGAGAGGCCGACACCTAGGTGTTAGTCTGTACTGCTCATTGCTCTAGGCTGTTCCGTGTTGAGCTATTTTTCATCGTGCAGATGCAGATCTTACCGGTCAGATCGTTAGCAGATTTTCGCCATCCGACGCCGGCGACCTTGTCAACAGTCATAGCAAGGGCAATATCATAACAAGCCGTCCTACAACCAACCCGTTGAGTTAGTGCAGAGATTACTACCACACCGGCGTATAACCAAGCCTCTGAGTAACACGGTTCACGGCCGTAACCTACACGGTCGTGGCCCGCACGAGGGACGATGTGCAGTCCTGGAGTTCAAGTACTCAAGTCGCAGGTCGCTAAGACCGGGGACAATTCAACACATCCTTCGGGGGAAGGGAATAGGCCATTGACCAGAATAAGGAGAAGAAAAAATTGTGATTTTTTTTTCGGTTTGTTCCATTCGCGACAAACTAGTAGAGGTACATGCGGCGTTGGGAATATCCCTCGATCTTGTGGGATTTACAAAGGTGCGAGGATGAGGAACAAAGAACTCAGTTCGCACAGTTGATGATGCGCGAGACGAGAGAGTGAGACGCGCGTGAACGAGAAGAGAAACAAAATACGGTATATTCGAGTACCTAGCGTAGCCCTAGACAGGTCAGGAATGAGAACAGAACGTAATACCCATATGAAACAGAAAACGAGAGCCGAAAATGTGAAATATGAGGAAACATGAGATAACTAATCTAATCTAATCCAATATGTATCGTGATGAGCGTGAAGTGTGTCTGTCCTATCGTCGCCGTAGTCAATCTGCCCTCTACGCCCTGCGGCCTACCATACAACCTCACACTTCCCTACTCAAGCAGCTCCAGCATACAATATCAAACGCACTCTGAACAATCATTCACTAGGCTTTAGTGATGCAAAGTAATTCCATCTCACAACGATCTCAGAACGATGGGTTCTCGAGGCGTTCAGGTTGTCTCACCATGTCATATGTCTCTTCCAACACGTTTATACATCGCCACCGTAGCACAATGGTTAGTGTGTCGCTTTCCTACTTGGGGTTACTGTAGGACCTTGGAGCAAGGCGGAGGTTGCGGGTTCGAGTCCCGTCGGTGGTTCTTTTTTATCTTTCTGTTTTGTAGACGTACTCGTGTGAACAGAGTTTGATGAATCTGTATAAACTCCGGCACCGTTTCAACCAGTTCTGGAAGGTTCTGGAGCTGACCACAGATACTTGTTGGTCGCCCGCGGACGGCGACGCGTGAAATTATAAAGAGGGGAATGAACGATGGACGCAGTCTCCACGTGAAACGATCGGGCGACGACCAAAACAAAAAAAAACTGGAAAGGAGCTGGACACGATGGACGAGATGATACAGGATGATACGATGCACACGGGTCATGGTGCACACCAAGGCCTAGGGAGGTCAGATGGTAGAAGATGCGAGAACGGGTGAGAAAGACAGTATATATTTAAGACGCGAATGCGCGCCTTATATACAATTTCAGAGCTATTTAAAGAACGCAAAGGAGTTGGCCGGAGGTGGTTGGATCGAGAATTCAGGAAACCTGTGAGGCTGTGACGGAAAGAAGTGGTTGGATCGAAAATCCAACAAGCATGTGAAACCTCTAAGGATGCGTGCGATCTGGATGGTGTACCCATGTAAGATGGTAGGTACCGAAGTGGAGGACGGTGAATGGGCCGTAGCAAAATGATCTTTCGGCGAGCGGCCGACCTGGGTGACTTCCATCTGCAGTCCCTCAAGCCACTGACCTCGTACCTTATCGGGGTAGCATTTGTCGTCTTGCTGGTGGCTAGTTTGGCTAAGCCTGCGCTACCCGAAAGTGAGTAATACAGATGCTTGTGCGAAACCTGGTGGACGGCAAGACGGCTGCATGGTGGCAGTCAAGGGTGTCATGATTTCGATGGAAGCCAGGAGCTGAAAACCTATGAAGTATGTAACGACCATCGCAAGGGTGCCGGCAATATGCAATTAAATTGGATGTATTGTCAACAGGGAGGTATCAGTGATGTCTCTTGGTTCTTTGTACACAATACAAGGAGAATGATAAGGCAAGCGGCGTGGCTGGTGCAGAATGCCATACGGGTTTAGGGGATCAATCATAGCGGTCCGCGGGTGAGAACCTAGAGGAAGTACAAGAGGCATGGCTAGTGCGGCAGCTGAACGTGTAAGAGATAGTCCAAGGCTCGTGTGCGGCCTGGGGTTGGAGTATTAATAACACGTTGCAAGAGTTGTAGTCGGGGGTGGGTGGACCTACTGAAGGAGAGGATTCAAGTTACGAAAGAGTATTCTGCAGCATTGTTTATCTAAAAGCAGTACTGCACGTCTGTGAGGTCGGCGTTTAGAGCAGATGCAAAATGACGCGTACTCCTGGCGCCACAGGGACTTTGAAAACGAAACTTGCGCATGGGCTGCGCCGGCGGCCTGTAGCGTGATTGGGAGTGCGATTTCCGGGTGTATTGGATTGAACAGTATCAGTGCTGGTGTTCGCACGTTGGTAGAGTAGTGCTTCAGCGATGGGTGAAGCTACGGGTGAAAGGGTCGCAGAAACAGGTGCCAACTTCATCAACCGAGGAAAACCGTCAAACATAGACTTCAGACGAGGGTTGATGTTGGCCATGTATGATCTGCCAGAGGTCGTCGAGCTTTCCTTGCGAGATGGTGGGGGAGACTGGAGAGACCAAGCAGAATTGACATGCGGGGGTCGTTTTATATGGCTAAATACGTGATGCACGCTAGCTGCGAGCCGAGGACCGATTTCGGATCCAGTGTTGAAGAACCTTCGTGAATGATATGAATACCGATGATGTTAATTGACGGGCCCGAATGGGATGGCTGCAGCTAAAGCAGCGAACGTCCCTTGACCAGCTGAGCATGCCGATTCCCTTGATCAACACGAGCTTTGCGTCGCGCGCCCATATACACACCTCATTCATACCGGTTCTTGAGCCGCGCCGTCGTAGTATGCGATGGCTTCGTATTAATACGCGTAAATCAAACCCAAAGCGCCGAAAACTGATAACATCTCACCGGCCAAGCCCTGCGTCCCTTCAGGTCCCTTCACGGAATCCCTCAAATTGTTGCACGCCCTCAGGTTTGCTATTCAACATGTCTGGCAATGTAGCTGTCGGCCCTAGCTATGTTGAAACTAGTAGGTCTTGTGTAATCCTTGAGGCCAGCTCAGCTGCACTAGACGCTTCACTCAGAAAGTGAATATGGATGGGAGTTGAATTAAATAATACCTAACGAAGATGGTGAAGATACAAGAATTGTCTTCACCTGATCATGAGCGCCAAGCACATCATTCATAAATGAAATTGCACGTGTTTTACAGAGACAGCAGTGAGAGCGAGATGAATGTATGGGTGCGAAGGAGCATGCCCCTGCTGGAAAGACGAGACATTCTGAGGGTGACTTGGGAGGCCGACACGGAGACGAGCGAGCACCGGAATGACTTCGACTGGGTACGCGATCTTCGTATGTGTATATTGCTTCTCTAACGCGTTCGCGAAGGCTGTTCAGCACGGATATCATATGTCCAAGGCCTGAGCGCTGAGCGCTGAGCGCTCGGACTTGCTTCGGGTTGGACTTGCCTTCAACGAAGTGTTTGCTTCCCCAGGTCATACAAACGCGCACAAATGTATACAAATATTCACCTTCTCGAGCCTCTCCCGATTCGTAGCACAGCCCTTTCGGTGAATGCAGAAAGTGATGCACGGCCGCCTTGAACGTAAACTGTCTCTTGGATCCGATCACTCCTTACCGTTTGCGGTCCATGATAGGCACTCGCCTCCACATGCACGTCTGCGCGTCTAGGATCCTCAAACACACCGCGACGAACTCCACTGCTTGAGCGTGGGTCCAACGAAGTCCAGGATCCCATAGTTCGGTCACATCTTCCCCAGGGAGGAAGAAGCCGAGCCGGAATCTTATCTTTCAAACCTGATCAAGAGACTGTTTTGTATCGTGGACCCAAGATCTTACTCGGCTTTGAATATCAACTTCTGCTTCGTAGCAAGGATCCAGTGTCGTTGTGGGGTTTGGTCTGTCGGAAAGGCATGTTGATATGACAAATGTGGAACCCCGAATGGCAATGTTAGCTCTGCTAGGCGCCTCTTCTCCCTTTAGGTGGCGCCCCAGTCCAACCGCAACGACTGATTGAAGATGTGACATCGAGGCGCCGCCGAACGTCGAAGTGGTACGGCCGCCGCGTTTGTAGCCTACGCCAGGCAGGTAAATATGGCTTTAGTGAATATATGGGGACAGATGATCATAGGGCACAACTCGGCGTCGAGTTGAAGTTGGCCATCTCTGCGTGCCTCTTGAACTTCCCCAAGGGCAGGCCGGCTTTATTGCCTATTATGCTGACTATTCGACTGATCCCACCAATCAGCTTCGCTCCACGGATCAGCTACATGTACTCCCATATCAGATTTGCGGGACATAAATACAAGATACCAGATACCAGACGAATGCGTCCTCCGAAACCGGAACGTTGAAACGGGACACGAGTCCACGGTCTGTTAATCATCTAATCTTTTGATAATCGAGGGTGATTGACTGGGATATTTTTGGGCTCGAAATAGCGGGGACGCCAGAGGGCGTTGGTTCTTGTTCTCTCACCTGCGTTAATGGAAGTTTCTTAACGCGTATAGCAGATCACCCGATGCCGAGAATGAATCCCTTTTATTACCGCGCCCTGGGATCCGGAATGGTTCTGAATGATCTAGGTGTGATCTCTCCATTTACAGCATAGATTGAAGACTACGTCCCCGGCTTTAACGGTGAACATAACGGGTAATAAGCACCATCCGTTCGTCGCGCGGGTGCGACACCACCTGTTGATCGCTCAACACCAGTAACACAGATAATCACGATCCCGTTGACAATGCATGGGGAAGGAAGGGGAAGGGGAAGAGGACTAGATGGACTTCCGTTTCTGCCAATGATTCCGTTCCTCAGAGCACAATTGCCTCGTTACCGTTCCCCGTTGATGGTCCCCGCAGCGGAGTGTCGTACAAGCCTATCATATCACGTCTCCCCTGGTCAGTGTTTTCCCCGGAGGTAGAAACCAAACAGACGCCATCTGTTTGTCGCAAGACGCCTCGATTTGGATGAATCCGATACACCAGACACCAGACACAATCACGTCCCCGTGTCAACCTTTGTGGCTGGCATGGTATAGAGGTGGTGCACATGCGTCGTTCGATGCCGTCTATGGAGAGTGCACTGATCGCCTCCAAACATTACAGACATAACTTCATAGGGGCCACGGCCGTCCTCCCGGACCGACATGGAAACGATGGCGTGCGTCGCTCGCAAAAGTACAATATAACCGCTACCTGTCTTCACTTGCCAGCTCCGATTCTGGCGTGGAATAAGTGACTGGAGGCCGAAACGGAGGACGGACGCCACCGTCTGTTCGTGTGTGGTCGATAGATCCTGGACTGTGCATTGCATGCGAGACTATCAGTATCACAAACGACAACCGCCGTGCCAGCGGTGATCGTGACGGACAGATGATGGACGTTTACTGCTCGATTGTGATATGGAGTGATCTGGTCCGCGCCTGGCTCGAGGGTCTTGTAATATGAACCTGGTGTGGGTTATAACGTTTCCGTGCGGGATGGTGGGGCGTGGTTAGAGCTTCAAGCACATTTGATGATTACGAGACGGGAAGTAGATGCGAGACGGGAAGTTTATCGGGATGGGATTCGGAAATGATAGCTGAACGAGGCAAGAGGTCTCCAAGTGTTTATGTTGGATCTGTCAACATCCTGCAGCTGAAGATTCGGAGGGGAGTTTGTTCTCGTGTGTCCTGTCCAAGGGGTGCCTGTGGCCTGTGGCCCTCGGCCTCACCTCGGCCTCCATATATATGCATACACAAGTAGGTGACCTTTGCAGGTTCAACTCGCCATGCAGATCACCGTGATCATAATCAGCGATCATGATCGTGATATCGCAAACAGGCAAGGAGAAAGAGAGTTGCGTCAATAATATCCGGGATCTTGCATGCATCATTCCATCGAAATCCCAATGATAGTGATGTAGATATGATGGTTTTCAACTGAACCGCTGATCATATCTTTTGTAGG